GCCCCCCCCCCCCCCCCCCCCCCCCCCAGCCCTCTGCCCTGACCTCGAGTCGCCCCGCTCAGCCCGCTGCAGGCCTAGGTGAACAGAACCCCAGGCTGGAAGTGGGCTGAGCAGGCTGGCGGCGTAAGATCAGCATTTTAATTTAATTTTAAAGGAAGCTTCTTAAACATTTTGAAAACTTTGTTTACTTTACATACAACAATAGTTTAGTTATATAATATAGACTTATAGAGAGACACCTTCTAAAAAACGTTAACATGTATTACTGGCACGCGAAACCTTAAATTAAAGTGAATAAATGAAGACTCGGCACACCACTTCTGAAAGGTTGCCTACCCCTGCTTTACTTCATGCCAATGGCAAATCTGACAAATTATTTTTGCTAGATAATCTCAGTAGTTTTGATGTAACTAACACTTGGTTTTTCATTTTATACCATCCCCATTAGGTTACCCTGTGCCAAACAACTATGATATGGCTGTCGTCATGCACGCCTTTATCTTAATAGCTTTGTCACTTTAGTATGTCCTAGTCAGCCTGATTCAGTCCTCCAATATACAATTTACACCGATGTAATTCCATCAGCTACAGTGGCGTTACCCCAGTTTTACACTGGTTATGTCAGACCATAATCTATGCCAGTGTGCAGCCCAGTCCAGTGGGGGAGTTGCAACAGGATGTAGAAGCGCTTTGGACACACCTCTTGCGCTGCAGCCTGAAGACGTGGCACCATAGAGAGAGCCCAGCCCAGTATCACCTGAGGCTTTAGGTCTATGCTGGGGAATTCGCAGCCTAGCTGCTTAGGGAACTTCTATGGCCTGTTGCGCTACAGGATCATCAGGGCTAGCACTTCGCCCTTACTATAAAAACTAAACCAAGCATTACTAATTCCCATTCAGTATGGCCACCAAAATCAGCTCCCTCCTTCACCTCTGTCCCCTTCCTCTCATTGGCAATCATCTGAAGAGATGCAGAAGCAAGCTGCAAATGCAGAAAATACCTCTGCGCCCCTCTGTGCACAGCTTTCAGGATCAGACTGCAAGAGCTGGCCAGCCACTTGTAACCACCACAGTGGGGCGTAGTGGGGAGATTGTGTCGGAGAAATTAAAGCTCATAATTATTTGTGACAACCAGAGTAGAGGGTGTCCAATTATTCCATATAAGCAATTTGCATGGTTGTCACTAGAAGCTTTCTGCGTGTTCATGTACCATATAAGGTTTCTCACAACAAAGTGTTTTCCTATTGCCTTTACTATGAATATTGTCAATGCTTGAATGTACTGTCTGTAAAATTAGCCAAATTTAAACAGTGTCATATAGAAAGTTGCAAATAGACCCATACATGCAGGGCCTTCTGTTCTGATTTTTTTCTCAAAACAGCCCAACTGTAACTTTTTGTAGAGGTGGGGTACGGGGTAAATGGTGAAGTAAAGGGCATTCCTGCCTGTGTTTGGATGTCTAAGGCTTGGCTTACACCTATTCCAGTGTGAAGTGGTTTAGATCTGCTTTATGGAGGTGTAGCAGGTTTAAAGGAATTTTCCTCCAAAGAACATGATCTTCCTCTTTCCAGTCTGAATTTGGACGATAATACTGCATTTAAATTCAACTACCAAGCTACTTTGCAGTTGAATGGGCCTGTGCCAGGAAGTGTTCTGTTGGCCACGTGCCAGTTGCCGAGGAAACTCGCTTTCTAGAAATGGTGTCTGAAGGAAAGAGAAGTCAAATAAAGGCAGTCTGGGTGGAGCTTGGCTCAGGAGTATCATTCCCTGGCTTGTCATGCTGAGTGCTGAAACTAAAGCCTTAGAGCTGGATTCCATTACACTGGGCTTACGCCGGTGTAACCAGTGGAGGATCAGGCCTTCCGTTGTAGCTGGCGAAGCTACAGAGGACTAATATATTTTCCACTCTCCAGGCAGAGATGGGAGGTACTAGAGAAATCTAGTCTGTGATTTAATTAGGGAGATAATGCTAGCTTATCATTCAAGATAATTTTAGTGTGTTGGGTTTGTGTATATATCGTACTTCAGTGTTGTTCTTAAAGCAATTTCTCTGCTGTCAGACCTCGTTCAGTTATTTTCTCCGTATTTGTCTACAGCCCGTTACTAACGTTTTTTTAAAAGTCTTTAGAGCCATTTCCCCGATCTGGTGAAGACTTCTTTATTTAAAAACAGTAATACACAAAGGGAAGCTTGAGGGCATGGATTTTATTGGGGATGCCTTCAGAGCACACCACTTTTTCTTGAGTATGAGAGGAGTTTCCCAGCATCCGTCTCATAATAATTAGTAAATACTTAAATGTAAATAGTTGGCAGTGAAAACCTAATGTATTTTTCTGTGTTGAATATATCCACCGAAGTGCACTGTGTGGTGACTGATCAGACCAGGGTTAGCAGTTGTCACAAAATGACAGTTAAGTGGTTGAGGTTTGAGATGGAATAACTGACACACAGTAGTGGGTTCCAGACTAGAACTGCGATATTGTCTCTAACTTTGCTGAAACTGTTCTCATTAAGTTTCACTTTCAGACACCCGTGTTCTCTACATTAGATTTCCTTTAAATTGAAGGGTGTCTCTTATTAAATCACTTGGGTAGGTATCAGACCAGAACTTGGGCGAGACTGTATTATGTAGTCAAAACGTTTTAAAATGTATTGCAACTAAATTAGGCACTGTTATTGTCCAGGTCCTTCCAGTGGTGGATTCCCAGCTGGTGGGTTTGGTCAGAAGTCAGCTCCATCCCAGAAAGGAGGGAATCAGTGGCAGACAAAGAAACCACAAAATACAGGTACTTCGTGGCAGTCCCACACTCAACCACAGCAAGCTAAATCCAGCACACAGAGTAAACCCAACTATACCGTGAACTTCAGTGTTATTGGAGGTCGAGAAGAGAGAGGTATCCGAGCTCCAGGCTTTGGTAAGTTCTGTTTCCTGGAATTATAGTTATAATGGTGTGTTGCGTATGAAGTCCTTGTGGTCTCTACAAGCATGGTTCTGGGGCTTTATGAAAACAGAAGCTTTGAAAGGTTCTGAAGAACTTATTTTAGTCATGTTACAGGCTTCATATTTTGTTTTGTTATTAAATGAGGTCTAATAGCAATAACATGAGTGGCATTTAAGCAGTTGTGTTCAGATAAAGGTCCACTTCTCAGATATCTCTCATTGCCTACCAGCAGTTCCTGATAGATATTAGCATGTCAATATGCATTGTTGTTGTAGCTGTGTTGGTCCCAGGATATTAGTGACACAAGGTGGGTGAGGTAATATCTTTTATTGGACCAGCTTCTGTTGTTGAGAGAGACAAGCTTTTTAGTTTACACAGAGCTCTTCAGATCTGGGAAATGTACACAGAGGCCTGGTTTACACTAGGAAACTAGGTCAGTTATAACTGTGTCACTCAGGGGTGTGAAAAATCCACGCCACTAAGCAATGCAGTTAAATCATCCTAACCCCTGGTGTAGACAGCTCTAGATCAATGGGAGAATTCTCCCATCAACCTAGCTACCACCTCTCGGGGAGGTGGATTACCTACACTGATGGAAGAACTCCTCCCATTGGCATAGGTAGTATCTTCATTAAGGGCATGGCTACACTTGCAGATGTAGAGCGCATTGAGTTAAACCAGCCCTCGGACAGCGCAGGAGGGAAAGCGCTGCAGTCTGTCCACACTGACAGCACACTGGCATGACCACATTAGCAGCTCTTGCAACGGCCACAGAGAGCAGCATGTAAGTGGCTGCAACGTGCTTTTCAAGTGGGGGTGGGGTGTGACAGGGAGTGTGTTGTGTCTATGTGGGGGAGAGAGTGGGTTTGGGGGGGGGCTGAGAGCATGTCAGCATGCTGTCTTGTAAGTTCAGACAGCAGCGGAGCCCCCCTCCCCCCGCCTCTCTCTCACACACAGCATTCCACACTAATGGTTGCTTTGTCTCGGAGCAGATAAGCAGCCAGCTGTCAGAAACGGAGCTTTGAAAGGGCATATCCAAAACAATGACAAGAGTGGCCACTTGACTTAAGGGGATTATGGGACGTTTCCGGAGGCTGATCAGAGCGCAGTAATGCAACACCTCGTTCACACTGACGCTGGGGAGCTCCAGCGGGGGCGCAGCAAACGTTATTCCTCTCGCCGAGGTGGAGTACCAGCAGCGCTCTAGCTGTGGAGTCAGAGTGCTCTACGAGCCTTGCCAGTGTGGACGGGTAGTGAGCTAGTGTGCCCTGGGATCCTTTAATGCGTTCTAACTCGCAAGTGTAGCCAAGCCCTAAGCGTCAAAAAGCCCAGAGTGCCACAGCTAAGTACAAGGGGGTAGATTGTTTAGCATAAGTAGTTAACACATTTCAAGGGACCATTCAAGGTTAAGTGGCCTGTTAACACCTCTTCAGTCATAGAGCAGGAAAGGAGGGGGGGGAAAAAGCTATAACCCACTTAACCTTGAATGGTCCCTTGAGATATGTGAAACACCCCTCTGAGTGACATAAAGTTACACCGACAGAAGCGCTGGTGTGGACAGAGGCTCTCCCACCGCCGTAACTACTGCTGCTCGTTGGAGGTGGATATAGAGCAGCTACACGAGCTATCCGACAGCAGCACACCTGCATCGGTAAGCTCGCTAGTGTAGACATGGCGTTAGGGGAAAAACAGTTTTTAAGAGAGCTGGCAGTTTTTCAAAGAGACATTATTAAGGGTAAAATAGCAAACTACCTCACCGCGTAGGAAAGATAGGAAGTATGGCAAGAGACCACCCTGGCTTAACCAGGAGATCTTCAATGATCTGAAACTCAAAAAGAGTCCTACAAAAAGTGAAACCTCTGTCAAATTACAAAGGATGAATAAAAACAAAGAACACAAGTATGAAGGGACAGAATTAGAAAGACCAAGGCACAAAACGAGATCAAGCTAGCTAGAGACATAAAACAAGAAAATATTCTACAAATACATTAGAAGCAAGAAGACGACCAAGGACACTGTAGGCCCATTTCTCAATGAGGGGGAGAAAACAATAATAGAAAATGTGGAAATGGCAGAAGTTCTAAATGATATTTTTGTTTCGGTTTTCACCAAGAAGGTTGGTGGTGATTGGACATCTAACATAGTGAATGCCAGTGAAAATGAGGTAGGATCAGAGGCTAAAATAGGGAAAGAACAAGTTAAGAATTACTTAAACAAATAAGATGTTTTGAAGTCGCCAGGGCTTGATGAAATACATGCTAGAATACTCAAGGAGCTGACTGAGGAGATATCTGAGCCATTAGCAATTCTCTTCAAAAAGTCATGGAAGACTGGAGAAATTCCAGAGGACTGGAAAAGGGCAAATATAGTGCCCATCTATAAAAACAGCAATGAGGACAATCTGGGGAATTACACACCAGTCAGCTTAACTTCAGTACCTAGAAAGATAATGGAGCAAATAATTAAGCCATCAGTTTGCAAACATCTAGAAGATAATAAGGTGATAAGTAACAGTCATAATGGATTTGTCAAGAACAAATCGTGTCCAACCAACCTGATAGCTTTCTTTGACAAGGTAACAAGCCTTGTGGATGGGGGCAAGCAGTAAATGTGGTATATCTTCACTTTAGTAAGGCTTTTGATACTGTCTCGCATGACCTTCTCATAAACTAGGAAATACAACTTAGATGGAGCTACTACAAGGTGGCTTCATAACTGGTTAGAAAACTGTTCTCAGAGAGTAGTTATCAGTGGTTCACAGTTATGCTGGAACTGCATAATGAGTGGGATCCCGCAGGGATCAGTTCTGGGTCCGGTTCTGTTCAATATCCTCATCAGAGATTTAGATAATGGTATAGAGAGTACACTTATAAAGTTTGTGGATGATACCAAGATGGGAGGGGTTGCAAGTGCTTAGGAGGATAGGACTAAAATTCAAAATGATCTGGAAAAACTGGAGAAATGATCTGAAGTAAATAGAATGAAATGCAAAATACTCCACTTAGGAAGGAACAACCAGTTGCACACATACAAAATGGGAAATGACTGCCTAGGAAGGAGTACCACGGAAAGGGATCTGAGGGTCATAGTGGACCAGAAGCTAAGTATGAGTCAACAGTGTAACACCGTTGCAAAAAAAAAAAAGCGAGCATAGTTCTGGGATGTATTAGCAGAAGAGTTGTAAGCAAGACACACAAAGTAATTTTTCCGCTCTACTCCGCATTGATTAGGCCTCAACTGGAGTATTGTGCCCAGTTCTGGGCACCACATTCCAGGAAAGATGTGGACAAATTGGAGAAAGTCCGGAGAAGAGCAACAAAAATGATAAAAAGGTCTAGAAAACATGATCTCTGAGGGAATATTGCAAAAATTGGGTTTGTTTAGTCTGAAGCAGAGAAGACTGATAGGGGACATAACAGTTTTCAAGTACATAAAAGATTGTTACAAGGAGGAGGGAGAAAAATTGTTTTCGTTAACCTCTGAGGATAGGACAAGAAGCAATGGGCTTAAATTGCAGCAAGGGAGATTTAGGTTGGACATTAGGAAATACTTCCTGTCAGGGTAGTTAAGCACTGGAATAAATTGCCAAGGGAGATTGTCTAAGCTGCTATTAAACATCTCCAGTGATGGAGATTCCACAAACACCTGTCCGGGATGGTCTAGATCAAGCGTGCAGGGGACTGGACTAGATGAGCTCTCGAGGTCCCTTCCAGTCCTACGATTCTGTGATTCTACACAATTCTCTATTGGCATAGCAGTACCTCCCCCTGTCTACACGGCTGTTTTTAGCAGTGTCATGTGCCACTGCTGGAGTCTTTCCCTGCTGCAGGGAACAGCTCCAGCAGTGGGGAAAGGCTCTTGCAGGGGGGAGGCAGCGGGGAAAGGCTCTGGTAGCTCCCCACTGCTGGAGCCTTTCACTGCTGTGTGTAGTTACACATCTCAGTGTGGACACAGCCTGCTCTTTGCTGTGCCATGTGACCCCACACACCCTACATCAGCGGTGGGCAAACTTTTTGGCCCGAGGGCCACATTGGGGTTGCGCAACTGTATGGAGGGCTGGGTAGGGAAGGCTGTGCCTCCCCAAACAGCCTGGCCCCCACCATCCGCCCCCTCCCACTTCCCACCCCCTGACTGCCCCCCTCAGAACCTCCGACCCATCCAACCCCCTGCTCCTTGTCCCCTGACTGCCCCTTCCCGGGACCCCCGCCCCTAACTGCCCCCCGGGATCCCACCCCCTTATCCAACCTCCCTGTCCCCTGACTGCCCTCTCGACCCCATCCACATCCCAGCCCCCTGACAGGCCCCCCAGGACTCCCACTCCCAACCCTCCCTGTTCCCCATCCCCTGACCGTCCCCCCAGAACCTCCGCCCCATCCAACCGCCCCCTCCTCCCTGATGGCCCCCCAGGATCCTCTGCTCCCTTACCCAACCCCCTCCCGCTCCCCTCCTGCTGCTGGTGACACCCGGCCAGAGCCAGCTGTGCTGCCCAGCGGGAGCGGCAGGCCAGAGCGCGGCCCGCATGGCTGCAGGGGAGGGGCTGGGGACTAGGCTCCCCGGCCGGGACCTCGGGCCAGGCAGGATGGTCCCGCAGGCCGTAGTTTGCCCACCTCTGCCCTACATGCTGCTGTCAGTGAATGTGCAGCGTAGACATACCCATAGTGTGGTACACTTGTTACCTCTGTCATGATCCTGTACCAGTAAGCATTTTCTTCCGTTATTTTTTCTTTTCTTTTTTGTTTTAACAGGACAAAAGCCAAAAGTTTCAGAAAATGATTTTGAGGATCTATTATCTAATCAAGGATTTTCAGCTAAATCTGACAAAAAAGGAACCAAGACAATTGCCGAGATGAGAAAGCAAGAAATGTCTAAAGACATGGACCCCTTAAAATTAAAGGTTTGATGTTTAATAATAAAAACCGTTGTTTTGATTCAAATATAAACATAATTCTGTTACTTCCTACTATTGATGGTAGAGTGGGGGAGGATACAGTGAAGGATAAAAGAGAAACTGAAGGGATACTTGCATCTGAAGAAGTGAGGTTCTTACCCACGAAAGCTTATGCTCCCAATACTTCTGTTAGTCTTAAAGGTGCCACAGGACCCTCTGTTGCTTTTTGAAGGGATACAAAGATGGTAAAAATTGATAATAAAAGTTTACATGTGTTTCCACCCATGTGCGGAATAACTCGGAGGAACCTACTGGTCTTAATGCATGAATGTATATCCTAATTGGTTAGTGTAACCAAGATACAGTGGACAACTGGGGTATCAGTACAGAAGACAATGATTTGCTCAGGAGAGAGGGTTTGTTCTGTATTGGCATGCTTTGAAGTGCAGATGGTGGTAAAACTCCTCTCTCAAGTGTATGATAAGATAAAAAGGAGCAAAAAAAGAAAGGGTAACTTATGCTGTGGCTAGTCTGTTACAGGCCACCTAATCCAGAAGGGGAGGTGGACAAGGTAATCCTAGAACAGATCTAACGCCCGTTTCACAAGAAATGATTGTAAAAGGATTTTGAGACTTTGAAAATGACTAGGTAAAATCTCATGGAGAAATTGAATATGGGGGAGAAGAGTGTGAGAGAGCTGGACAGTTCTAAAGAACATAATTACGAACTCAGCTGAAAACAAACCAAGATACAAACAAGTAAAATCCTGATGTGTGTGAACTGAAGTTTTACATCTAATGCAGGATTTTCTCCCATAGGGAGTACAAGGGCCTGGGTTTCCCATTTCATTAAAGAGCACGTCTTGGTACAGACTTGGCTAGACAAGCACAACTCACTTTTTGACTATGGAGAAGATGGGAGGGTGCATTTCTGGTCTGTGCCAAACTGGGAGAGCTTGGGTCAAAAGGTTTTCATTGCTGTCAGGTCCACTCTTTGGCAGCTAGAGCCTTGTTTTATTACCTTTTCTCCAATCAAGTGCAGTTTCACTAGTGCTCTTTCAGCGAAGGGGTTCAGGGCTATGGTGCTGTGATGGCTGTGTCTGATAATACAAAATTACGGCTTGTGGAGAACAAAAACTACTTGAGAATCACTTTCTTAGGGCAGGTCATTCATTCTCCTCCCAGTGGCTCTCTGCCCCTTTATCAAATCCACTGAAAATGGACTATTTCAACTTGTATTAAAATTACTCTTTCCAGTCTCCAGGGTGGCATCACCCCCATGTGTATTCTGATCCGATTTTGTATTTCTTCCTGGTACATTACTTGCAGATAAGGTTAAATGGTAACATTTACTATTTAGTTTTGTAAAACATTGTGAGGATAAAGTACGTAGTTCTGAACAATATTAATAGAAATAATCTCTGGGAGGAAGTGGGGAAATCAGCGTATTGATGGCATATTCCAACTCGTGTCCATAGGTTGGGTTGAATGCTTTTTTATGTAAAATACTATAAATAAAAAATAGAGCCTTTTACCTGCCATCACCAGTGTTAGTAGGGGAGCTGGGAGATATTCCATACTGTGATATTACAATTTAGAGAGACTCCCCTTACTGCCATAAGGATTCTATATTGATTGATGTAAAGATCATTCTATAAAATCAACTAAGAAAAGGGCATTGTTAGCCAATTGTAGTTCAAGGGGCAATCTAGTACAGAAAACTTCAATTTACTCAAGCAAGCCATATGAGTGTACAAGTCTCAAAACAGCTTAAGATCCTTACCTGAAATTTACAAGTAAAACAAGATTTCTAGCACTGGAATGGACAACCTGTGTTACCATGGGATTAATTAGTGTAACTAAAATGAATATTCTGCCATGGTTACTTTGTTCAGATCACTCCTTGTCATCTATTATACAGTTTTTACACTTAACTTGTTAATAATTCAGTTCTCTTGGAATGATTCCTATCTAAGAAAGAGCCAAATAAATAACTACATATAAACATGCTGGTCCTCGGCTAGCAGACTTGATATATCACTGTTGGGTTCCAAGGCTAAGCATGGTGTCCACTCTGTGGAATTTGGATGCACGATTAAGATCATATTTGTAAAGTGCTCTCAAAACTTTTGAAGCCCAAGGTCCAATTGTCTTGTTTTCAATGATGGGAGAGTAAAGTATCTTCAAGCGAATTGGAAGCACCATTTAAGGCAGCTGCAGTCAATTTGAATTTTTCTAATTTTGTTTCAGATTCTAGATTGGATTGAAGGAAAAGAGAGAAATATAAGAGCATTAATATCCACTCTTCACACTGTGCTCTGGGAAGGGGAGAACAAGTGGAAGCCAGTTGGCATGGCAGACCTAGTTACCCCTGAACAAGTAAAGAAGTACTATAGGAAGGCAGTACTTGTGGTTCATCCAGATAAGGTGAGTAGTTTTCTTGGGTATGTTAAAGGCTATTTATCAAACTGGTATTACCAAATGTGACAGACCCAGACCAGTGGGGTACAGGAGTCTGGTAGAGGGCAAATATACTGGTCACTGGATGAGTAGTTTTCTGTTCCCTGAGTGACCAGAGCAGGGGCTGCACTAGAGTAATCAGGAACCTGCTAGAACCAGTTAAGGCAGGCAGGCTAATTAGGACACCTGGAGCCGATTAAGAAGCTGCTAGAATCAATTAAGGCAGGCTAATCAGGGCACCTGGGTTTTAAAAAGGAGCTCACTTCAGTTTGTGGTGCGAGTGTGAGGCGCTGGGAGCAAGAGGCGTAAGGAGCTGAGAGGGTGAGGGTGTGCTGGAGGACTGAGGAGCACAAGCGTTATTAGACACCAGGAGGAAGGTCCTGTGGTGAGAATAAGGAAGGTGTTTGGAGGAGGCCATGGGGAAGTAGCCCAGGGAGTTGTTGCTGTCATGCAGCTGTTACAGGAGGCACTATAGACAGCTGCAGTCCACAGGGCCCTGGGCTGGAACCCGGAGTAGAGGGCGGGCCCGGGTTCCCCCCAAACCTCCCAATTGACCTGGACTGTGGGTTCTTCCAGAGGGGAAAGTCTCTGGGCTGTTCCCCAACCCACATGGTGAATCTCTGAGGCAAGAAAATCCGCCAATAAGCGCAGGACCCACCAAGATAGAGGAGGAACTTTGTCACACAAATTAATTCTGCAATCCTAAAAGGAAAATCTGCTAAGCTTCCTGCTTTTGAACAGACACCCGCGCAAGCACGGCAAGGCTCGGTGGGGAAGGGTTTGATATTGGCAGGGACAATAGGCTAGTTTCTGGGCATTTTTTCAGTCCACTTTTCTGCTGTACGGTTATTGTGTTGAACTCTGGCACTTCTAAGGTGGCAGCATCAGACTGTGGAGATAAGGATCTCCAGGGAAAGGAGAGAGAAGAGGGTCTCCAGCAGCTAGGCTGGACAGTAGTGCTTAGTGCTGCCTTACCCATCAGCACCTGTTTGGTGAAGGAGGAATGAAGTGGAATGGATTCCCTTCAGATGCAAAGGTTGAGAAGCACTTTTACCACCACTCATATTATCATTCACTAGACCCAGCTACATGGGTGCTTGGCCAGCCACATGCTCTGCCTTCCTTCCGTTTGTTGTGTTGTCTTCTGAAGTTAGCACACCAATGAGACCATGCAGTACAGGAATTCAAGTCTTACTCCTCATCCATAACACAGTGATGAGGTGTCAGAGCAGCCGGGGCTGAGTCCTGCCCTCACCTGAACTCCTGCTCGTCTCGGTCCCGCTCGGATCAGTCTGAGAAAAGCCCAGTTACTGGAGCAGAGTTCTGTTAGGTTCTGGACATCTGCCAACCAAAATGCAGATCAGTGTAATCGGTGCTTAATCTCTACTTCTTGAATGGGTCTTGGGGAGGGTCCTCCAACTCCCAGGCCTCCCAGAGATTTCAATGGTCCCATGTAAGCCACAGCAAACTGGATATAAAATCTGCTGAAAGGTCCTGGTGGGAATTATGTGGCAGCTTCCAATTAAAAAAAAAAAAATACAAAAAAAGAATAATCCAATAAGCACAGTAGTGCCGATGTAAATGGTGATTATATCTACATTATCTGTAGTGTCAGAATAACACTCCTGTAAAAAGCAACAGAGGCTCTACACCAGCAACACCATCACAGGACCTAACCAGATCAGCTCCATCATCACCGGCTCATTCACCTGCACGTCCACCAATGTTAGATATGCCATCATGTGCCAGCAACGCCCCTCTGCTATGTACATTGGCCAAACTGGACAGTCACCACGCAAGAGGATAAATGGACACAAGTCAGATATCAGGAATGGTAATATACAAAAACCTGTAGGAGAACACTTCAACCTCCCTGGCCACACAATAGCAGATGTTAAGGTAGCCATCTTACAGCAAAAAAACTTCAGGATCAGACTCCAAAGAGAAACTGCTGAGTTCCAGTTCATTTGCAAATTTGACACCATCAGATCAGGATTAAACAAAGACTGTGAATGGCTATCCAACTACAGAAGCAGTTTCTCCTCCCTTGGTGTTCACACCTCAACTGCTAGCAGAGCACCTCACCCTCCCTGATTGAACTAACCTCGTTATCTCCATGCTGATTTATACCTGCCTCTGGAGATTTCCATTACTTGCGTCTGATGAAGTGGGCATTCGCCCACGAAAGCTTATGCTCCAATACTTCTGTTAGTCTTAAAGGTGCTACAGGACCCTCTGTTGCTTTATACAGATTCAGACTAACACGGCTACCCCTCTTTTACTTGACTCCTGTAAAAATATTAGGGCAGTTCACCCCTTTCAGGCCTCCTGTTCGTGGCTGTGTACAGATGTAGGAAGATAACATTGCATCTCTTGCACTTGGTTCACATTTTCATTCTTTTCTAACAACGAGAGCAAGAATTAAGGAATTTTTAAAAAAAGAAAACTCCGATTCTGGAGCATAATCCCGCAGCAACGTCTGGGGTTGCAGAATACACGGGGCCTCGTGTTTATGCCCATCTGAGCCAGGATGAGTTAAAATGGAGCAGGTGGTGTATCTGCAGTATTGCTGTGCACGCACTGGTTCCCCAGACCAATTTAGATTGAGGTCTGTGCTGCGACAGCAGAACTTCCTCCATGACTTGGTGTATTTCTTTGAGGGTAAAAAGCCTAGGAGTGTTCATAGTCAGCAGTGCATGTTCAACTAGGAAAGTCGGACTCCAGCATAAAAGAATTTAACAGCGTTCTTGGAAATCGCTCTTCAGTTGCATTGTGGGGTACTAATGTAAGAGCTGCCGTGCAGTAGTTTCTACCTAAATTAGTTTTTATTTCATTTTTAAAGAGCCACTTGCTGAAAATGAAGATCATTAGCTATTAACTCCTTTAATACAAGATGGAAACTTTAGTACGACTTCAGTTACACTGAGCAGATTAGACTAAAAATTTGAAGCGATGCAGGCAAATTATAATCCCTCAGTGCCATTTAAACTCTGACTTTGGTATATATGGGGACTTGGGGGAAAAGGGAATTACAAGTTCTGGATGAAAAAGCCACACAAACTTACAGCACTGTATAACAAATAAAAGTAAACAGAAAGAGGCTAAACAAGAGACTGTGTGTGAATTTCACTGTTAGTAAAATGCAGTTTTTTCTCAAGCCCTGCTGCAACTCTTCACATTCTTTAGACTTCTGCAGTAAGCTTCTAATACCTGCTCTGTTTGTTTACAGGCCACAGGACAGCCTTATGAACAGTATGCCAAAATGATCTTCATGGAGTTGAGTGATGCATGGTCAGAGTTTGAAAACCAGGGATCAAAATCCCTTTTCTAAAACTTCATCTGTACGGGATTTTCAAAATGTATGTGCAGCAAAATGGAGTGGAGTATTGTTAGTCTGAATTTCTTATCTCTAGGATTTAGGAAAGATTTTTGCATGATTTCAGCACAGTTTGAAATCATACACTCAGAAGTGGGTGATACATTTTGTAAGATGCAGAATCCAAAACATACACAGATGCACTCAGAAAACAGCTGCTCAGTGCTTCAGAATCTTAGCCTGAGAACAGATCTTTCCATTCCGGTTTAAATATGGTGAAATAGAAATAACTTTAATGATGTCCACTGATTTTTGGCGTAATGGTATCAAAAGCGTAAGCCATTCCAAATCCACTGATTTTTTTATTTTTCTTTAAAAGAAACACACAACCTCAATTTGTACTTTATATTTTCAATAGTTATATGATTTGATTTTGATGTTTGGTGCCGTCGCCTTATTCTAAGTGCTTTAGTTATATTATCAGCAGTGAATTTGCTCAGCATATCTTTTTGTTGAATCTATAAGAGGTGTACATTTTCATCTGTATTTTGTGTAATCATTCAGATAATCATTCTGTAAATAATTAAAATATTTTCTGACAATACCTGTGTTCCTTACAATGAATTGACAGTTGCTTAGCCAAAAAGCTCCCAGTTATGGGAAAGTCAGCCAGGGTTGTTCTTGATTTTTTTTTTTTATTTTATTATTATTTTTTTAATGCATATCATGAACCTGGAAATAAATCTTAGCTTTAATATAAGGACTGCACATTCTAACTTTTTGTTATTTATTATGAACTTTTGAAAGGCACAACTATGACTAGCGTTTATTTTCCTACTCTGTGAATTTCAGCTTTTACTCGTATTTTTTTTCCCAGTGGAATGTGCCTTCCATTGGCGTTATAAATACCACACTAGAAAAAATGTTGACAGTCATTTATTCCGAAACTTGAAATGTGAGCACAAAACCGTTTACTCTGCTTTGATTTGTCTGTTTTAACTGAGTCAATGTTATATTGTTAGCTATCCTCTTGAAAGCATTTCCTGTGCTTATGCTGACAGTGGGATACTTATGTTGCATGTCTGAGAACTTGATTTTTAGAAGCCTGCATGCACATAGCTATGTATGCAAAGAACCAACCAGTGTGTATAGTTAGGACATCATATACTTGATGTACACTGTGTGTGCATTGGCTGGTGCAAGCCTAGTTGAGAACCCAGTGTGAGAACACAGCTCACTGCACTGTTTCTCATCTCTTTAAAAAAGAAACAAAAATTAACATGTACAAGTATATGGATAATTGAATACTAACGACCAATGACTATTGTACAGTATTGTATAACTCCAAACTGTAAATCCCAGTTCCTGGGGCTAGTTTGCAAATGTTTGTTGGAGTGATATTTAAATTTTGGTGACAGTCTCTTGCACTGGAGCTTTGCTACCCAAGTAGCTTAAAAGATGTATTTTTAATCAATTTGCCTTTGCATCCAATTTGGATTCTTAACTGCGAAAGGGGCTGCAGTGACATCAAGGTAGCTGTCTTACAATGAGCATCTTATAATTTTTCTATTCCGATTATCCCACAATTTGCATGAAATGAGGCTTTCCACTGCCAAATCGACATCACAGTGAATGGGTTGGAGAAGAGGTTGGTTGGTTGGATGGGGGGGTGGGTACACTTTACAGGCTCCCACCAAACTCAGATACAACACAGTTGAACTGTTACCTCTGTATGTAATGTGTGTACATATATTCGGTCACTGTGAATTTTGAAAGAGTGGAGGAGGATTATTGAACTCTGATCTGAAATGCAAAGTATGGCCTTATGCCGGCACAGCTCTGAATTAGCCTTAATCTCATTGGTGGTTCTTTGAGTGCTTGCTCACGTCGATTCCATTCTGGGTGTGTGCGCATCCACATGCACAGTTGTCAGAGAGTTTTGCCTTAGCTATATCCGTAGGGTTGGCTGTGGTGCCTTCTGGAGTGCCACGCTCATGCATCGGTACATCAGGCGCCACCAGCCCTACGCCCTCTCAGTTCCTTCTTGCCGCCTGTGCTGGTGGTCCAAGTGCCTCGCAGGTGGTCAGTGGTTCTTTCCCTTTGAGTTACAGCTGTAAATAGTTTTGTTTAATGTAGATTAGTTAGTAAGTAGCCGTTAAGTACTGCAGTTAGTCCGTAAGGGTCCCGGTGGGGACTTTGCCCCAGGCAGGGCATGCCCCGGTCACCGGGTTTTAAGCCCTGCCTGTTAGTGACCTGCATGGCAGCTGTCTGAAGTGCCTGGGGGAATCCCAGGTAAAAGAAAAGTGTTACATCTGTAAGCACTTTTGTCCCAAGACACAGAAAGAATGCGACATTCGTTTGAAGGCCTTCCTCATGGAGGCTGCTCTCCAGCCTCAGAGCTGTCCTAGCTGGATGCAACTCCCAGCACTTTGGGCTCGGTGTGTAGTGCACCCCTGGCACCGGGCTCGACCCGGCACCGATCCCCAAGAAGAAGTCTAAAAAGCAGGAACCAGCACTGAGCAAGATGGACCATGGGGCATTGGATAAAGGACCCTGTTTTGGCCACTGGCCCATGTCAGAGCCCCAGGGGGACATGTCCCTGAGGAGACCTCCTACCCCCCCAAGGGATCTGCCACTGATTCCAGGGAGCGGTAGGGGACCCAGACTTATGGCGGAGTTAATGCCTTCCCCGCTCCCAGCACTGAGAAAGCAAAGGACATCGTGTGTGGCGATGGACCCAGCAAAGGCTCTCTACGAGAGAAAGCCAGCCATGAAAGCCTCCCAGAAGGCGAGTGAATGCTGCCGGTTTCTGGAGCTGAAGCAGAACTCCTTGTCGCCGAGTCCCTGGTTTCCGCATTAGCCCAGGTCAGCGGTTCACCACCACAGATCGCCAGCACTGCCCTCCTGGTTTCCATCCTCTCATTGGCTCCAATTCACTGCGCTTCCCCTTGGCCTCTCCTTGGCACCGCGAGTATTTACAAAATGCCTGGCCCCAATAGTCGCTTACTTGAGGCATCGGGGGGGCCCAGGTCTATCCTTATCTCAACGATTGGCTCATCAAGGGCAGGTCGCGGGATCAAGTGCAGAACAGTCTCTTGATCTGGTGCGTTCCACCAGTCACGACCTGGGCCTGTTAGTGAACGAAAAGAAATCGACCCTCATACCAGTGCAACGAATAGAGTTTATTGAGGCAATCCTCAACTCCACACGGGTTCCTTCTGGAGTCCCTTTTCCAAGCCATTTCGGATGTGATTTCCTGTATAAGGGGCCACCTGCTCACCACTGCCCGCACTTGCCTATGGTGGCTAGGCCACATGGCTGCCTGTACTTACATGGTCCGTCATGCCCAGCTCCACCTCAGGCCGCTGCAGGCTTGGTTGGCATCAGTCTATATCCCCAACAGGCATGACCTCGATCTGGTAGTCAAGGTGCCGGACCACACCCGGTCATCACTGGCATGGTGGTTGGACCCCCCCCATTGGCATTGCAGGGAGTTCCCTTGGCGGTCCCGTCGCTAACTCTGGTTTCCGACGTCTTGGACCTGGGCTGGGGGACCCACCTGGGTGAGCTCAGTACACAAGGCTGCTGGTTGGGGTTTGACCGCTCTCTCCACATAAATGTCAGGGAGCTCAGAGCGGTTTGCCTGGCCTGTCAGGCTTCTCGGTCCCACTTACAAGGCAAAGTGGTTCAAGTCCTGATGGACGACATCACCATGATGTTTTATATCAACAAAAGCAAGACGGAGCCAGGTCACCAGCCCTCTGCTAGGAAGCCCTCCAGCTCTGGGACTTCTGTGTGCAGCATGCCATTCATCTGCTGGCAGCGCACCGCCCCGGAACCAGGAACATGTTAGCAGCTTGCCTCAGCAGAGCCTTCTCGTCTGTCCACGAATGGTCACTCCACCCCGAGGTGATCAGCGGGATCTTCTGAAAGTGGGGATCTCCCCAGGTGGACTTGTTCACAACTGGACAGAACAGGAAATGCCATCTGTTCTGCTCATTTCGGGGGATCAACAGGGGCTCCTTGTCGGACGCCTTCTTACTTCCGTGGTCGGGGCTCTGATGTACACTTTCCCACCAGTGTCGTTGCGTCACAGAGTCCTCATGAAGATAAATGGACAAGGCCAAGGTTATCCTGATGGCCCTGGCTTGGCCTCGGCCCACTGATGGACCTGTTGGCGATGTCCCTGCTGCAGCTGCCCCTCTGGCTGGATCTTCTGTCCCAGAATCACGGCAGGCTCCTGCACCCGAATCTGGCAGCGCTGCACCTAGTGCTTGGTTGCTGCATGGTTAACTGCTGAAGAGCAGGAGTGGTCGGCCCACATCCAGCAGATCCTACTGGGTAGTAAAAAGCCCTCCACTAGAGCAACCTTCCTGGCCAAATGGAAACTATTCACGTGCCTCGGCCCTAGGGGTTAGGCCTGAGGAGGCCTTGCTGCAGTCGATCCTGGACTACCTTGTGCATCTCAAGCTCCATCAATTAAGGTCCACTTAGCCGCCATATCAGCCTTTCACCCTCCATTCCAGGGCAGATCAGTCTTCGCTCATAACATGACAGTCTGGTTCTTGAAAGGTCTGGAGTGACTTTATCCCCAGGTCTGGGACCCAGTCCCTCTGTGGGACCTGAATCTGGTGCTTGCCAGGCTCAGGAGAGCTCCCTTCGAGCCCTTGGCATCCTGTTCCCTTCTTCTGCTCTCCTGCAAGCTGTCATTCCTGGTGGCGATAACTTCTGCCTGAAGGGTCTCTGAGATTTGGGCACTTACCTCGGGCCTGTCCTATACAGTGTTTTTCATGGACAAGGTCCAGCTGCAGCCGCATCCGGCTTTCCTGCCCAAGGTGGTTTCGCAATTTCACATGAGCCAGGACATATTTTTGCCAGTCTTCTTCCTGAAGCCTCATAAGTCTGAGGAGGAACGTAGGTTGCACTCCCTGCAAGCCTTCTACATCGAGAGGACCAAGCCATTCCGCAAGTCACCACCATGGCCAATAGGATGAAAGGTCGTCCAGTGTCCACCTAGAGAATTTAATCATGGATCACTGCCTGCATCCGATTTTGCTATCATCAGGCAAAAGTGCCTCCACCGGCGATTTGTAACCACCCACTGAACTAGAGTACAAGCCTTGGCAGCGGCCTTCCTGGCCCATGTGCCAATTCTAAACATCTGCAGGGCCGCCACCTGGTCATCCATTCACACATTCACATCTCACTATGCACTTACCCAGCAAGCCCGAGACGATGCTGGCTTCGGTAGAGCAGTATTACAAGCTGCACATCCGTTAATTCTGAGACCACCTCCGGGAATACTGCTTGTGAGTCACTTAGAATGGGATCGACATGAGCAAGCACTCGAAGAATTAAAAATGGTTACCTACCTTTTCACATCTGCTCTTGGAGAGGGAAGGGGGGAGGGATAGCTCAATGGTTTGAGCATTGGCCTGCTAAACCCAGGATTGTGAGTTCAATCCTTGAGGGGGCCATTTAGGGATCTGGGGCAAAAATCTGTCTGGGGATTGGTCCTGCCTTGAGCAGGGGGTTGGACTAGATGACCTCCTGAGGTCCCTTCCAACCCTGATATTCTATGATTCTGTGTGTTGCTCATGTCCATTCCATTACCTACCCACCTGCCCCTCTGTCGGAGTTG